CGGGTAATCAAAATAGCCATGGATAACTATCACCAAAATCCGAACATGTTTTTTTTTATTGTTTTTAACACTATAAACTTAAATTCATGAATATAAGTGTTTATCAAGATTTCAATTGCCAAAGGCAAAATATTTCTAAAATAAATACCTTGCAAATGTGAGTCAAACACTTTACCACTACCCTACTACTGCATTGGTCCTAAATCCTAAACACACTTTTATATTCCTCGCATTGAAAAAGTAAGTACATTCATATAAACATGTTTTATTAACATCAAATGCATAACAAAATTTATTATTAAAAAACCACAAAGTCGTTTTTAGTTTCAAAATATGGTCGAATTTCCCTGGATTTTAGTTTAGTTTAAATATATTTATGACGAGCTTCCCTGACATATACTTAGTGACTAGCCTTTGTAACTAATTTGACAGCGCGTTCTATGCTCTGCGTGTGAGAAGGAAATTCAGGTAAGTTCGGAACTTCTTTAGTTGCAATTAGTGCATCGATTTCGCCATCCTTCAACCATATTGTTGATGCCGGTTCACTGCTTTTCTTAAAGTCAATTCTATCCAAGAAGTTGCTTGAAAGTTTATCTCAACATTAGCAGTATTTGTAATACGGCACTCTTTATTTTTACTTGTCCTGAGTTTTTTAATGACTAGTAATGCCTGTTCCCTTATGTTAGATTCTTCATCTCTAAGCATACAATATAAAAAGTTCTTAGGCAATAGACAATATGATTTTTTTTTAGATTTTTAAAACAAATGTTTTGTATTTCTTCATCTTGCTTCCTTATCTGTTCTGTCATTTTAAAGAATATACTTGGTGAATCCATAAATTTAGAAGATCTTTTGATAAGAAACCAAGTGTATGCATACACTTGTACAATAAAATTTACAAGCCTTACATGATTAAGACTTGGTGCTTCAGTACGAGTATACAAAGCCATGATTCGAATTGCTAAAGTCAACCATCTTGCGTTGTTTAGTGGACCAATTTTTCTTCTAAAAAATATGTTATTGACAAATCCTTTAGAAATTCTAAGACAATATTCAAGAAATTGTTATTGACAAATCCTTTAGAAATTCCAAGACAATTTTTTGTGGGTTAAGATGGAAATCTATAGAAACTTGATTTCCAATAGGTCCTGAAAATTTATTTGGACACTTTGAACTGCCATCAACTATTTTGAATACTTTTCGAAATGGAAGTTCATTGTGATGCAAAATGCATTTGATAAGGTGTATTTTTCTTCTAATTTCTTTTCTAAACATGCAACAATTCTAGTTTTGAAACCTGTATTGACATTTGTATTATCAAGAAAAAGGGCTTGTACTGAGTTTAACTTATCCTACTCTTTCAGAACATTATAAACAATTTCACTTTGAAGCAAACCAGTTGCACCATTTGATGGGAAATTTTTATGAGAGAGATATGAACCATTTTTAAAACTATTTTCATTAGTAAAAGTTAAATGATGTTCTTTTTCAGTAACTCTCGACAAGCGAGCTTCTCTATTTTCAACGACATCCTTAAACTGAAGAACATTTTTATCATCTTTACCATTAACACCCAAACTCACCAAGTTACTTAAATTATTATCATGTTGATTACCATATCTTGACATTACTTTCTTCTTCTCTCTATAAAACAATTCAAAGTATAATATTTAGCTAAATATCGTATTAAATGTTTTTTAAATGAGCATTTATATAAATTATTAAATAAAAAGATATATTTATATTTGTCTAACTTATATAATGAAATAGTATTTACCTCTCAATTTTGCTTCGATCTATAACTTGAATCAAATCTCCATATTTAATGATTCCATAATCTAGAAGTAGAGCATTTGCAAGTGTAGCTGCAGCACAAGATGAGACATCATACCTACAAATAAGAAACTATGAAATAAATGAACAAATCTGAAAAAGCAAAGCATATTATCTATATGTGATCCCTTAACATTCTATATATACCCTCTCCTCTCCCACATTAAAAAAAACTTACTGGGAATGAAAAATGGTGAAACTTGTTGTTTGTTTTTTTTTCACACTTTTAATATAGTATATATAAAAAATTCTCATCTAAACTCAATATGTATAAAAATTTTATATACCTGACAGCCTCCATTGCAAATCTATCAAGTTTCATTAAATTATATTGAGAACTTTTTACTGGATTATATTCTTCCTCAGAATCATTTACCTGTTAAAATACTTAGTATTCAAAATATAAAAAAAAAGCCATACATCTCAAGCAGCATACTTTGTAGGACCAACATTTAAAAAACGTTGAAATTGTTGAAACAAAGCTATTTTAGCATTGCCGGGCTATTTTAGCGTTGCCCTAACAAAGTGTGCTGTTTGTGAAAAAAAATTAGATGAGTGTTTTTACTAATTTACTATTGCTCTGTAAGAGCAATAGTAAATTAGTAAAAACACTTAAGAACATTAAGCACTCTTTTGTAGACTATTATAACAATTTCTTTATATATAT